CAAATAACAAAGTGTATGTGACTCAGTCTTTACGTTGGCCTTTTTACATGGGATACCAGAAACCTCAAGATCAAATTCAGCTCCAATCTCAGTGAATAAATACCCTTACTTTTCAACAGTATTTGCTATCTAGTCTTTTCCATGGCTTCGGTTTTCTATTTCTTTTTAACAACCTCACGTTGCAAGACCTTTAATTATAAACCACCACAATTACTCTTTAGAAAGAGATAATGTATTATATACTTTATTAATATAATAAAGTCTTTTTACAAGTCTTGTGTTCATATAACTAAAACTCTTTCCAAACCTCAAAGATCCAAGAAAGTTTAACAGAGAACAGAGCAATAACATTCACCTGCGAAGAAACAAGCAAACATCACAGTTTCATTAGCCGCCTCATCCTAAGTGAAGAAAATAAAGTCTCCACACCAAGGCCTAATTCCACTTGTCTGTCTTGGCCATTTAATCTCTGCAACGAAGAGTAACAGGTAATTTATCAAAAAAAGAGCCTAGTAAGCAGCAGCCCAGATTTATCTTTGTGAAAAAAAAAAAAATCCAAGTTTTACAGGCCCAGCGGGGGCAGCACTCAATTCCTGGGAAGTTCCACTCACCCACAGCAGGAGTGTAGCTAAAGCAAGCAGCCTAAAGGAACCAGAGAAGCAGCCTGGTCACCTCCGAATCATTCGTGTCTAGACAGCTGCTGCCCCCAGCCCCTTGTCCCCAGAACAACATCTGCGTCACTTTCGTAGAAATTATCCACATCCTGGAGACAGAGGTCAGGAAATTGCCTGTACCAAGAAGTGCCAGGGAGGTTGGTCACAGAACTGGTATTTATTTATTTTTGGTCTGCCATAAAAGTCCACAGCCAGTCAGGGAAGGAGGAAGATGGGGGGAGGGGGGGGGGGATCATGCTTGTGGCTTTCCACATATTTATCAGGAAAGGAAAATCTGATATAAGAACATAAATGACAGCCTGAGACCAAAGTCGGGGCGTAAAAACCATTAGCACAAATGGGACCTGAGCAGGCGGGCAACCATCTCAGAGAGCACGCCCGGGCTTCCAACAGCCTGCTCCTCCCCGATTTTCAGACCTGGGCACAGCGTTCAGAGATAAGCCCCAGATGGGCCCAGTCTGCCACCTCCGCGCTGGATGCGCTGGCCGTGATTTCTGCCCCCATGGAGGGCAGAGACCGAATTCTTCTGAACCGGCCATGGCCCGGCGCGCACAAGAGGTGCTCAGAAAACATGTGTTCAACGACCTGCTGAGTCCCACTTACAAGGACCATTACACAGAAGCCAGACTGTTTGCTCAGTGCTTAGTGAAGAATTCTCACAATGTTTCACAAATATCTCCTCCCATTTATGACAAGAGATGAGCAAATAAGATACCAGGCGGCGGCGGCGCTGGAGAGGACCCTGGGACCAGGAGCACCGCTTCCCGCTCCAGCTGGGCAGCCACGTGAAATTTCCCTTTTTCTTACAGTCAGTGTCCTGCTCGGGGCCACCCCCCCACGGGCTCTCTCACACTCATGGAGCCGCGCTCACACTCAGGTCTGGCACACTCACAGTCACCCTCAGGCTCTGGGCTTCTCTCTCTCTCTCTTTCTCTCTCTCTCTCTCTCTCTCTCTCTCTCTCTCT